AGAGCCGCCGCTCCCGGCACAGAGCGCTGCCGCTAACCGCGCTGATTCTGTGTTCTTACATTGCCACCCTCTGACAGCCCGGCGGATTAAACCCCTGCCCTTCAACCGGCAGCCGAGCTTTGAGCCTGAACACAGCGCAGGGGAAACGCGTTGCTACTGCCACGCTTTGACTTGAATTTTTAGGGTCTTTAGTAAGTCTTCCTGGATATCTGTCATCTATTGCTGTATGAGAAAGATTTGTTTAAAAGCTGATTTGGGGATGTGTGGCAGAGAGATAATCCAGCTCAGTGCAAAAACCTGTATCAGACCCCGCGAGTGCCCCGGAGAAGTCAGAGATGAGAAGTGGTTCTATCGTGTGCCTGATAAATGAAGCTAAGGCATTGGCTATATAGATGTCATTCTTTAACTCCAGCCAGAAATGAAGTATCAAGCAGCCATTTGGTCACTATCCCTGTGGGGGATGTGGGAGAGAATCAGAAGAGTAAAATATGAGAGAACTTGTGGGTTGAGATAAAGATAGCTTAGTAGATAGAGAAGAATAAGAACTTCACTCACCACTTCCCATGGGCAGGCAGGTGTTCAGCCATCCCCAGGAGGGCAGGGCTCCATCACAGTTACTTGGGAAGACAAACACCATCACTCTGAACATCCTTCTCTCTTCTTCCCTCAGCTTTATATACTGAACATGATGCCATATGGTCTGGAATATCCCTTGAGTCAGCTGGGGTCAGCTGTCCTGGCTGTGTCCCCTCTCAAATTCTTGCACATCCCCAGACTATTCACTGGTGGGGCAATATAAGAAGTGGAAAAGGCCTTGTCTCTGTAAGCTCTATTCAGCAACAGCAAGAATATCCCTGTATTACAACTTCTGTTATCGGCACAAATCTGAAATGCATCCCCATACTGGCTACTATGAAGAAAATTAACTCTACCTCAGCCAAAACCAACAGAATAAGTATTTATTGAGGAGTCATGGAAGTGGGAATAACAAAATCTTAAGACAGAACTGCCCAAGTGCATTGTACACAGACACTTTGAACACTAATCCACCTACAAGAATACCATCCACTGCTGCTGTTGAAGCTGTTTACCATGTACTAGGGGATACATTTTGTCATCCTGACCTACCTTCTCACCAAAAGCTTGTCTGTGAAAACATAGCATTTGTGTCTGTGTGAATGTCAAATTATATAACACCTAAAGGGCAACAATATGCAGGGCACAAAGTAAACACTTATATCTGCTCATATGAAATGTGAAAGGTAATTTTATATAATGATTACTTTCAGCCAGAATTGCTTACATCTGAGAGAGCAGTGCATGAAGGATAACTGAAAAGCAAAAAGCTATGCATATGTTTATGGAATAGGTAGGATTATATGCTCTGTGTGGCATCTTACTTGATACCTTCTTAAATCATTGTATTAGTAGAAGAGAGGCATGGATAAACTGAAAAGAGCACAGCAGAGGTTTACCAAGACAGAGGCACAGAACATGGTGTACAGTGTGAAGCTGAAGGAGCTTGGACAATGCCCCACACAATCTGGTCTAGTTTTGACAGTAGCCCTTTTGCCTTTCAAAGTTAGATTTTTCTGTGACTAGGGTGTATTTTCGGGCACATGGACCATGTTGTTCCACCTTGTGCATCTTGGGTTTACTTCATAGCTTAAGTGCCTCCCTATCACAGACAAGAGTGATGCTGTGAGGCAGGTCCTGTTTCAGCACCAGGAAAAAAGAGGAGCTTAAAACCTACCAAAAAAGATTAACTGCAAATATGGAGTGTTGGTCATAAGACAGATGGCTCTTTGGTACTTTTTATGTCAGGTTGTTTCACCAAAATGAAAAGTTTTACATGTATATTCTTCTGTCTAGAAAAGAGAAATTATGCAGCTTTTTACTTAACCTTGAGTAAATAAGATAGTGAATGTTGACATAGAACCCATAGTGGGTACAACTCAGAAATAAATATTCTCCCAAATAACTTTTGAGTTTTGGGGGTTTGGGAGTTGTGGGACTTTTTAAAAATTTGTTTGGTTTATTTGGGTTTTTTTTCTTTAATAATTCCTCTTCTGTGGCTTTGTTATATCTTTGGAAAGAACACCTGAAGTGTCAAAAAAGCATTCCTGGACAGAGTTTATATGAAACTTGAAAATAAATGGAAAGCCTTTTAAAAAGTATAGAATATGGTGG